GATAAGTTTTACCTGAAAAAATTTGGCTAAACAACTAAAAGTAGGCTAGCCGTTAATGTTTCAACTTAAAACAATCATATTATAACCTTTTTTGGTTCTCATAATGATTAAAACCTATCTCAAATGAAATTCTTCTAACACGAAAAAAACAATCAAGCGCATGCGCGAACAGCGCCATCTATCGAGAAAAGCTAAAACTGCGTCGGCGCGAAAAGTTTTGAAGAGCGGTCATTAACAACAATGATCTTTCTGTTTTCATTTCATTATCACACCAGACCAAACTTGGGTAAAGAACGAGGTTTCTCCTAATGTATCAAACATGTTTGATGCCCTGATGCTCTTCTTGTTATTTTCAAGAGTAGGAACTATGGTGCGAGGATTCGAGGGTTTCTCCCGAGAGAAATGTCAAATACTTCTCGCAGAGATCGCTCACCGTTTCTTGCTGTTATGACCCCACATTGCAGCAATCTGGATGGAATAAAATCACGTTGCACTTGCGGCATCTCCTGGCAGAGAGCACCTCGTGTCCTGGATTTTGCTCAAATCTACTAACGAGCCACTTCGCTCATCGACGCCTCAACGCTTGAGTTCCGTGTCTGCCAACAGCAAAAGTGAGAACGGAATTCGGGAAAAGGTAACAACGAGCTGAGGGCCCGGCGGGGCCGCTGAGGCGTGGGCCTCGGGAGGAAGTTGATACACTCCACGTCGGAGCATCTTCCCCGCCGCAACCTCCGCGTCGGCGTCGCTTGCGGCTCAATCGACCTCATTCGACTCCTGCGACACTGAAACAAGAGGGAAACAGGCCGAAAAGGGAACGCCAGGTCAGGTCGTTTCAGTAGAAGGGCGCCGGCGGGCGTCTCAGACTAAAGCCCTCCCTGGGAGCGGCAGAGCAGACTCACTGCAGTACGGCGAGTGGTCCGCCGTCAGCACGTTGAAGCTGCCTCGCATGGAGTGCTGCAGCGCGTACAGGTCCGTGTCCAGGCCCACGGGTAGGCAGTCCTCCGTGCACCACGCTGGGGGCGGCGGCGGCGGCGGGAGCCCCGCCGACGGGGACCTCTTGGAGGAGCCTGTGGACGCTGCGCACGGGGTGGTCAGTACGGAAGAGGGTGGGGTTGAGGGTCTCTACAGCGAATCCTTCCGAAAAGGTACTATCCTGCTTGCTTACCCGGCTTGTTGCTGGAAGCGTCGGCCACCGTGTCGCTCGGCGCGATGGCAGGGTGGGTCGCTGTAAGACACGAGACACGCATTGTGATCGGCACGACGCGCCCCCCCCCCTCCCCATCTGGTCCCGCCCCTGCCGTGGTGGATGGTCCCCGGGGCTGCAGACGATCTGGTACACTCTATTCTAGCTAAGCTCGTCTCAGCGTGCCCAAAACATTGCATTGCTATGATGGGGCTGACGTCGGCGCCGGCCAATGCTAACGGCTAATCGGGAAAAGAATGGCGACGGGCGAATCGGCTCTGCTCTGAAGATAGTAGCGGGATAGTCGTCCGGGCCTCTCTCCACTAAAACCCCTAGAGGGGGAGGTACCAGTTTCAGTTTCCCATGAATGGTGTATAACCGCAGTTGGAATCGGACTATCTTTTCGTGAAACGCGTCGGCTATGGATCATGCTGTTACGTATCGTCGCCAGGGGCCAGCGCTCACCTCTTTTGGAGAGTGTGGTGACGTCGGCGATGCCGTTGCCGTCGACGGGCCGCACGTCCACGTCCTTCTTGTAGACGTCCCTCTTGTTGGTGCCCGCGCCGCGCCGACTCTCGGACGAGAACACGCTCGCCAGGAAGGGGAACGGGAACGAGAAGCTCCCCTGCTTGACCTTGGTGGGGGGCGCCTCCGTGCCGGCGGGGGCGGCCTTGTCGCCGGGGGAGAACACCCCGGCCAGGAAGCCGCTCAGGGTCGGGAGCGTCGGCAGCCCGACGGGCGGCGACCACCAAGTCGCGTGCTTGTTGCGGCCGCCGGACGGACTCTCCACGACCACGGGGCTGTTCTTGTCGCCGTCGCTAAAGAAAGGTTTCGAGTGACACGAGTCAGGCCCACTAGGTCCAGCCAAGAGGTACTTAAATGTTAATTCAAGCGTACACCAACTTTTCTCGACTTTTTCTGATTTTTTCTGATTTTTATGACTTATTTTATTGTTAATTTTTTTCTGGGTTTTCTAA